AGAGAAACAGAATGAAGGCAAGTATCCTTCCCTTATTAACATTATAGGATTAATCTCCATAGGGAATTAAATATTTCTTCTTTACCATGTAAACTTTATTTTGTACTCTCATACAAAGTTGTTTCAGATAGTGATGTGATCTATCCTTTACATCTAGGTTTTGAGTCAGATTTGTACAGATGTGAATTACTTACTTTGATCCATTTTACACATTCTTTTGTTGAGTTTTTCTTTTTATCCCTATTATGTAATGGACATAATTCAGGAATAACTGTCAGTGTATGACTAGTATTATGGTCCGTTTTCTCTAGCATATATTCCCAATGTCTTTTTCAGAGTAAGGCATTCCCAAAACAGCTGGCTTGCACGGAACATACTGGATTCAGCTAATTGTATTGTATCCATTTCAGTTAATTGACATGTTCTTGTTTTAGGATGTCCATCTATAATCTCAACCAGATGAGATCAATGTGTATTTTTTCCTGGGATAATTTTCCCATTGGCCTTGTAAGGTTGTTGTTTGCATAAATTAATGAATCAGCACACATTTTTGTGCATGATTGTTGTTAATCTTGATTTCTTTAATAGGTTATCTAGGGATGATTGAACTGGTTCTGGTAATACAGATTCAAGTAACTTTTGAGAAAGTTCTTTGAATAATATATAGGTCTAAAGCTAGTTTAATCCAGATTTTGTCAGGAAAGAAGGCAAATCTCTAGACTTTGAAAATATGACTAAGTATGAGCAAAGAAGTCAAAAGCCAAAATACTTTCAAAATTAAGTTACTAAAAATTAATTCAGAAATAATACAAATAAATTAAATGAACCCCTACTAAAAATATATAGTTTAAACCTATGCTCTGACAAAGAAGCTGAAACAATCCACATACACTTCATTAAAAAAAAAATAAGGGTAGGTGAACAATCAGTTATGGAAGGCGGGGGAGAGTTACATATAGTGGAGATGGGATGAATGGAGTACGTGGAATTGTATGGATGATACAACTAGTGAACCACAGTGTTGCCAGATGGTTTATCTCTTAAGGTATGCAGCTTTTCATCCTCTCTTCTGTGGTTTGGCATAGATAAATAAAACTTGTACAGTAGATATACTGAAAGTTAAATTTTGTTGTGAAACAATCTAGCTGTTGCATTGTTTGCTGGACAGTAAACATTTTTATTTAAAACAGATTATTTCACTATTTGATATAATACAGACATCTTGGGGGACAGTCTAAAAAAACCATGTAAATCTGTACTTTACAAAATGCTTTGTCAGATTTAGAACACTGGTTGAAAATTTGGTTATAATCTTATTCAAATGCATAATTCAGGCCTAGTTTTAATCAGTAATTGCTTTTTTAGTTGTTTAATAGGAAACTTAATTTCAGTGTTGAGCAGCGTTTGATCTATTTTCTTCCCCCAGATCAGAGCTGTATGAAATGTTATACAAGAGCCGATTCTGTGGAGCTGCAAAATGATCTGTTGTCAGAGGGAAAGTCCTGTTGTTCCAGTGGGAATGCTTGAAAGTGCAGATTTACTAATGTTGAAGGAGTATTCCTTTGGGCAGTAAAACTTAAAGCACTAGCTTATCTGACAAGGGACATGCTCTGAAATTGAAAAGATCCAAAATTAGCATCTTGTATTCCATCTGTGAACATTCTTGATTTTTGTGTAAATGAACCATGTGTAGTAAGTAATAGACTCTCAGAGGCATAATGGTCTGCAATCCCGGTTAACTATCAATGAGAGAGAATCTGATAAGTGGTGGCAAAGTATCTCTTGATGTGGAGCAGTCAAATTCTTATATATATGACCTTTCCAAGTGAGAAACTATACCACAGTTTGGATCCCCCTAAACTATATCTATAGGGATATTAACGGAATATTTCCTGTCTGCATTTTTTGACACCCAGGAAAATGTAGCTTTTCTTATCCATTTCAATCTTCCCCTTGCCAGATGATGTAAATAAAAACTAGGGATTATGCCCAGTCTTGGTCTCAGTCCCTGTATAGAATTTGATATTTTTCTCACACAGGTTTAGTGCATCATCATACCTTCTATTTTTAGTTTAAGCTATCTGACTAAAGTTCAGGCTAAGAACATTCTTATCTATAAATCCTAACATTAGTATAATTCTTTGTCACAGATCATGAAACTCAGTGTTATTTATATCATAAATAATAATTTGAAATTACATCACCATAATAGAAAGGATCACTGTGCCAGCAAGCCTCTTAAATACATTTGGTTTAATTAAAGCTTTTAGTACTTTTTGCTGGTGTGTAAGAACTATTTTCTGTGTAATATATGTACCCTGCTAATGCAACAAAATAAAATGTTTGTGGTGTTCATTTTTTTTACCGACCAATAATCTATAATAATTTTCTATCACTTGAGACTTTCAAATTCGTCACCAAAAATGTTTCTCAGCTGGATTAGTGGAGAACAGGAACCAAATAAATAAAATAATAATAATAGTTTAATTATTATCAAAAGATGCGATTCAAGAGATGTATTTCTTTTAAAAGAAACCCCAACCAAAATTAAATCTTAACAATACAAAGGTCCAATAAAAATTTGAGCTTTTTGGTTTTATCCTCTAATTCCAAAACTGGGCAAAAATTTTTAACTTTATCTAGTGTGCAATTGCAAATTTTAGTCCTATGTCTGAGAATCAGTTACTTAAGCTTCACTGAATTCCTTGTCTTTCTACCATTAAAACAGAGAGTTTTTTGGGGGGAAAAAACTTAGGGCCTTTAATGTACTCTGAGAATCTTTGTCTTGGTCTCTGTGTTATATAGACATTGTTAAAATGAGGAGATATTGTAGTAGATGGAGTAGAGGAATCGTGAGTAAAGCTGCTCAGGAATTTTTCATTTAAATGTTTTTAACTGGAAAATGCTGATTCGTCAAAACCAAAACTTTTCATTGGGAAAGGGCTTGGCTGCACTTGCGAGTTACAGCGCAGTAAAGGAGCCCTGGACGCACTAGCTCACTACCTGTCCACACTGGCAAGGCACGTAGAACGCTCTGACTCCGCGGCTACAGTGCTGCTGGTACTACACCTCAGTGAGTGGAATAATGTTTACTGTGCCCTTGCTGGGGTGCCGCAGCGCCAGGGTGAACGAGGTGTTGCTTTACTGCGCTCTGATCAGCTTCCGGAAACGTCCCATAATCCCCTTAAGTTAGGTGGCCACTCTTGTCATTGTTTGGAATCGGCTGTAGGAATGCAGAAATGCCCTTTGAAAGCTCCGTTTCTGACAGCCTGCTGCTTATCTGCTCTGAGACAAAGCAAGTCATTCATGTGGAATGCTGTGTGTGAGAGAGAGTGGCGGGGCGGCGACGGGGGTCTGTTGCTGTCTGAACTTACAAGACAGCATGCTGACATGCTCTCAGCCCCCCAAAAACCCACTCTCTCTCCCCCACATACACACAACACACTCCCTGTCACACTCCACCCCACCCCACCCATTTGAAAAGCACGTTGCGGCCTCTTGCATGCTGGGATAGCTGCCCATAATGCACCGTTCCCAATGCCGCTGCAAGTGCCACAAATGTGGCCACGCCAATGCGCTTGAAGCTATCAGTGTGGACAGGCTGCAGCACTTTCCCTACTGCACCCTACAAAGGCTGGTTTAACTCAAAGCACTCTACATCTGTAAGTGTAGCCATGCCCAAAGTATGTCAGGTCAAGGATAGAATTTCTGGTGAAAACTAGAATGGTGGGGGAGAGAGAGAGGATTGATTCTCTAGCCAAGTGGTTAGGGCATACCTAGGGATTGGGATAGAGAGGTTCAAGTCCCTGCTCTGCTTGGTGTGGAGCAGAGAGTCAAATCTGGGTCTCTCACATCCTCGGTGGGTGCCTGAACGACAAGGCTATTGACAGTTCTGGAGTGGAGAATCTCTCTCCTGTTTTTTGTGAACATTTTTTGAAAGTTCTCAGTTTCGTTCCAGTGCAGAGCAGGAGAGTTTTTTAAATCTCAAAAAATTTTGCAAAATGGGAAAACCATTTCTCAACAAGCTCTAATCACGAGCACTTTCTTGATGTGGATATTACTTTAGTGTCCTTTTTCTAAAACTTGGACTGCTTGTCATCATATATCTTTTCAGGATAAACTGCGGTTTCTATCCTTTAAGAGAATAATCCCTGCTCTTTCAGTTGGTTTTTCAAATAAACAAGCAAATTTTGGAATTTAGTGGACCAGACTTGCACGCACGAATCCAGATTAGTGATTCCAGTATTAGGTTTTTGAACCCACACATTTAGCTTTTAAAATTCATCATATCTTGAATGATTCTGAGAAGGCTTGGATTAAGAATGTGCTGTGTAATGTCTTGATAAAATGTTTAGAGGGGCACAGGGTTCTTGTGGATAAAGCACAGGGATTCTATTTTCCACACTGCCACAGGCTTCTTCAGCGACATCAGATAATTCACTTAACCTGTCTGTTCTTAATGGTGTTGTGAGGCCTAGTTCATTTGTGATTGTAAAGTGCTTTAAGATCTTCTGATGGACAGTGCTGTAAAAGTGCAGATTAATATTATGAGGGTGTCATTTTTTTCTTGTTACCAATTTTGCACCAGAATTTATGTAGATTTGTGTGATAACTTGCAGGCTGCTTCCTGTGTATACTGTAAAAAATGTGCCCTGGGCTAAATAATCTGTGACGGCCAATATTTTATAACAAATAAATTTGAAATGCCAAAGGTGTAATAGATAAAAGTGGACAAATCATCATAACATCTTAGTCACGTTGGAAACTGAGGTAATATTGTATATCTAAGGAAAATTACCTTTTGTTGAACACAGTGTATAAAATATTTCTGACTGTTTGAACATTCAGAATATTAACATCTTATAAAATACTTGTATACTACATTGAAGTCAAGTTTTCATATTTTATTGCATTTGAATTAGAATAATTATTTAAACAGTAAGACTATTTATGTTGGTCAGACTATCAAAATTTTTTTCAACTGATTTTGTTGTATGCAGGTCCTTCAGGGTTTAGATTATCTACACAGCAAATGCAAGATCATCCATACAGATATAAAACCAGAAAATATCTTGATGTGTGTGGATGATGCCTATGTGCGTAGAATGGCTGCTGAAGCTACAGAGTGGCAGAAAGCTGGTGCTCCTCCTCCTTCTGGCTCAGCAGGTACAGTAATAGAGTTAAACTTGCTGCAAGTAAAACTGCATTGGAAAACAGATCATCATAATCACATTTAACTTGTTCTAGTTCATGAATATTTTATATTTTAAATGACTGAATTAAATGTGTGAATGTTAATTACTTTAATGTATCCCTAGTTTAATGTAAGTATTATTTAGACCACAGGAAAGCCATCTGAGGGATGTTTTCGGTTTCTCACGTTGGTATGCTCCCAGTATTCAGAGTACTGTAATATAGGGAAATGATGTGCCTAAACAATCTTTCATGTTTTTCAAGTTGGGAACTCAAATGACAGCTATTAGCTGCACTGGAGCCCTGCCGTACTGCAGCAGTCATAAGAGTTAATAACTTTAAATTGTTTTCCAATTCTGTCCCAAGTTCATTACCTTAAATTTCAAATTGTCTGACTTCTAATCTAGGCATTATAGTTAGATCTAGTGATGTCACAAAAGTCATAGAATCATAGACTATCAGGGGCCTCGGGAGGTCATCAAGTCCAACCCCCTGCTCAAAGCAGGACCAGTCCTCAACTAAATCAAGTCTTGGAATCCCTGGTCTTTAAGCTTTGAAAAGTGAATGTATTGTACATACATCAGTGTCCTCTTTTAGGTATACTTCCCACTCACATATAAAATAGCTTGTGAAATTTGCCTAGGGTTCAGGTGGGACTGTACCTTCTTTTCTACCTTTGCACAGTGTGGATGGCTAGGAGAGTTCACTATGAAACAGTAAAGGGATACTTAGAGAAAATGTGGCTTTCTAATGGTCATCAGTCTTGTGGCTCCTGGTCATTTATCAATCCACCATATCAGCCACAAGCATGGGGAAAAGATAATAATTAAGAAAGTTATTATACAATACTATGGGAAAATGTGTAGGGAGCAATAGTTGAGTTGTATTTTAATAATGTCGTCTGTTACAGCAGGAGTCTAGCAACCTTTGCAGTTAAGGTTCCATAAATGTTTCCACAATCTAGCACGTTGTTTTCAGATCTTCACAACTTTCCAAAACATTCACCATTTAGACTGAAACTTTTCAGGCTTAGTCTTTGCCTGAAGATGATTTTTTTAAAAGTTTGAGCAAGAGTGGTTCAGCCATCTGGAATATTATACGTATGATTTTAGACGTGTAAAATTTTCAAAAAATAATGCGTTGGTTTTGAAATCGTGTGATCATGTAACTAAAGACTGTATAGTAATTGCACTTAAGATTGTGCTTGCAACCTTGATGTTGTTTCCTGACTTTTACGTGACTCACTGTGCAACCTTAACATTCTCTTCAATGAAGATATTTGATGGAATTATTTATATAGTTTGTTCTTAGCCAGTGGTAGTTATTACTTATAACACTTCCCCAGAACTAACTGAAGATGAGTGTAGTATTTAGCTCTTTGCATAGTTCCACTTCTGAGCTACATGGTATGATGGTGTTGAATTTTGAGAACCTGCTAAAAACCAGTACACCTTTTAGATCCAGAGGAGCACTCTGAGGCTATGGCTACACTACGAAAGTACTCCGATTTTACAGAAGTCGATTTTTGGGAACAGATTGTATAAAATCAAGTGCATGTGTCCACACTAAGCACATTAATTCGGTGGTGTGCGTCAACAGTACCGTGGCAAGCATCGATGTTCTGAGCAGTGCACTGTGGGTAGCTATCCCGCAGTCTCCGCTGCCCATTGGAATTCTGGGCTGAGCTCCCAATGCCTGATGGGGCCAAAAATTTGTCACAGGTGGTTATGGGTAAATGTCGTCAGTCAACCTTCCCTCCCTCCCTCCCTCTGTGAAAGCAACAGCAGACAATCATTTTGCGCCTTTTTCCCTGGATTGCCCGAGCAGACGCCATAGCACAGCAATCATGGAGCCCGGCTGTTCAGCTCACCGCAGCAGTTATGACCACTGTAAACACCTCGCGCATTATCGTGCAGTTTATGCAGAAGCAGCACCTGAAAAACCAGGCGAGGAGGCAACGGAAGCGTGGTGATGAGGACATGAACACAGAGTTCTCTAAAACCGCGGTCCCCAGCAATTTGGAGATCATGGTGTTATTGGGGCAGGCTCATGCCGTGGAATGCCGATTCTGGGTCCGGGAAACAAGCACAGACTGGTGGGACCGCATAGTGTTGCAGATTTGGGGTGATTCCCAGTGGCTCCGAAACTTTCGCATGCGTAAGGGCACTTTCATGGAACTCTGTGACTTGCTTTCCCCTGCCCTGAAGCGCAAGAATACCAAGATGAGAGCAGTCCTCACAGTTCACAAGTGAGTGGCAATTGCCCTGTGGAAGCTTGCAATGCCAGACAGCTACCGGTCAGTCGGTAATCAATTTGGAGTGGGCAAATCTACTGTGGGGTTTGCTGTGATGCAAATAGCCAACACAATCATTGAGCTGCTGCTATCAAGGGTAGTGACTCTGGGAAATGTGCAGGCCATAGTGGATGGCTTTGCTGCAATGGGATTCCCTAACTGTGGTGGGGCTATAGATGGAACGCATATCCCTATCTTGGGGCCAAACCACAAGGGCAGCCAGTACATTAACTGCAAGGGGTACTTTTCAATGGTGCTGTAAGCACTGGTGGATCACTGGTGGGACGTTTCACCAACATCAATGTGGGATGGCCGGGAAAGGTTCATGATGCTCGCGTCTTCAGGAACTCTGGTCTGTTTAAATGGCTGCAGGAAGGGATTTACTTCCCAGACCAGAAAATAACTGTTGGGGATGTTGAAATGCCTATAGTTATCCTTGGGGACCCAGCCTACCTCTTAATGCCCTGGCTCATGAAGCCGTACACAGGCACCCTGGACAGTAGTAAGGAGCTGTTCAACTACAGGCTGAGCAAATGCAGAATGGTGGTAGAATGTGCATTTGGACGTTTAAAGGGTCACTGGCGCAGTTTACTGACTCGCTCAGACCTCAGCTAAACCAATATTCCCATTGTTATTGCTGCTTGCTGTGTGCTCCACAATCTCTGTGAGAGTAAGGGGGAGACGTTTATGGCGGGGTGGGAGGTTGATGCAAATTGCCTGGCTGCTGAATACACGCAGCCAGACATCAGCGCGGCTAGAAGAGCACAGCAGGAAGCGCTGAGCATCAGAGAAGCTTTGAAAACCAGTTTCATGACTGGCCAGGGTACAGTGTGACACTTCTGTTTGTTTCTCCTTGATGAAAACCCGCCCGCTTGGTTGCCTCTAAATTCCGTGTAAGCCACCCACCCTCCCCCCTTCGATCACAGCTTGCTTGCAAAGGAAATAAAGTCACTATAGTTTAAAACACATGTATTCTTTATTAATTGATTATAGAAATAGGGAGATAACTCACAAGGTAGCCCGGGTGGGGTGTGGGAGGAGGGTAGGAGGGAAGGAAAAGGCCATGTCATAAATATAAAGGGAAGGGTAAACCCCTTTGAAATCCCTCCTGGCCAGGGGAAAGCTCCTCTCACCTGTAAAGGGTTAAGAAGCTAAAGGTACCTCACTGGCACCTGACCAAAATGACCAATGAGGAGACAAGATACTTTCAAAAGCTGGGAGGAGGGAGAGAAACAAAGGGTCTGTGTGTCTGTTTGTATGCTGGTTTCTGCAGGGGATAGACCAGGAATGGAGTCTTAGAACTTTTAGTAAGTAATCTAGCTAGGTATGTGTTAGATTATGATTTCTTTAAATGGCTGAGAAAAGAATTGTGCTGAATAGAATAACTATTTCTGTCTGTGTATCTTTTTTGTAACTTAAGGTTTTGCCTAGAGGGGTTCTCTATGTTTTTTAATCTAATTACCCTGTAAGATATCTACCATCCTGATTTTACAGGGGGGATTTCTTTATTTCTATTTACTTCTATTTTTATTAAAAGTCGTCTTGTAAGAAAACTGAATGCTTTTTCATTGTTCTCAGATCCAAGGGTTTGGGTCTGTGGTCACCTATGCAAATTGGTGAGGCTTTTTATCCAACATTTCCCAGGAAAGGGGGGGTGCAAGTGTTGGGAGGATTGTTCATTGTTCTTAAGATCCAAGGGTCTGGGTCTGTAGTCACCTAGGCAAATTGGTGAGGCTTTTTACCAAACCTTGTCCAGGAAGTGGGGTGCAAGGTTTTGGGAAGTAGTTTGGGGGGAAAGGCGCGTCCAAACAGCTCTTCCCCAGTAACCAGTATTAGTTTGGTGGTGGTAGCGGCCAGTCCAAGGACAACGGGTGGAATATTTTGTACCTTGGGGAAATTTTGACCTAAGCTGGTAAAGATAAGCTTAGGAGGTTTTTCATGCAGGTCCCCACATCTGTACCCTAGAGTTCAGAGTGGGGGAGGAACCTTGACAGGCCACTTTAAAACTTCTTGAATGACAGCCTTCTGTTGCTTGGGCTGTCCACTGGGGTGGAGTGGTTGAGTGCCTGGAGCCTCCCAGCTGCTGGTTTCCAGCCTGGTGGAAAGGTCAGGAACTGGTCATGGGGAGTTGAGTTGCATAGGAGTAGCTGGGATCGCTGCAAGTTTCTGGCAGCAGGAAGGCTAGACAGGACTCGCTTAAGAGTCCTGACCTAACCCAGCTAGTGCAATAATTTTGTTTAAACTGTGTTATTCTGAATAAGAGACTTTTGCTTTATTCTCATAGTATATTGATCACTATATTTAGATGGACAAATTTTAAAACTAATTGTTTTTAAAGTAGGAAAATGAGCAGGCTGTTAACAGTAAGACAGTATGTGTCGATTCATGGATAAGACCAGAAAGAACTACTGTGTTCATCTTGTCTGACTGCCTGTATAGGCCGCAGGATTTCCGTGAATTAATTCCTGTCTGAACTACAGCAGATCTTATAGAAAAACATCCAGTCTTGCTTTAAAAATTGCCTGTAATAGAGAATCCACCGCATATCACCTCTGTTCCAATGAAGACAACTAATTGTTTTAAGTTTGTGGATACTTTTAAGGAGACACAATACTAACGTACTGATAAATACAAAAAGGCACTGGTTTGCAATATATTATATTTTATATTTTATTTCAGAATCCTTTTCTAAAATGTACTTACATGCTCCTGTGAGTTTGACTTTATTTTTTCTTTTTTAGTGAGTACTGCCCCACAACAAAAGCCTGTAAGTATATTTATATAACTCATATCTAAAGCATCTTGCTGTCCTTTAGTTATATTAACTGTTAGACTACTGACATTTTACATTCTATACAGAAGCTCCTCTGACTATAGCTTTTGTCCTTAAACAAGCACTTTTTGTGCAGTTCTGCAGTCTTTGTTCATTTCTCATGATTTTGTAGCAAGTTGTTATCAAGAGTGGTCTAGGAGTTCTTTTTTAAGGTACATTTTTTCTTTCACAGTAATGATAAATTTATTTTAAAAAAGAATTAAATATGAATTATAGGCAAAATACATAATTGCAGTTTTTAAACACAATATTTACCCTATCATGACTGTTGATGCATTTTTGAGCAGTCTCCAAAGCTGTAATAATAGCTTCATGTGGAATGAAGTTGAGGAATTGCCATTTTTCATCTTTCTTATGGCATAATCCTGATCCTGCATGCTTAATGTTATGCACTGTGAGCAGTCCCATTGACTTCAGTGATCTATTTCTGACTGTGCTGCACAGTTGCTTGAAGATTATGGGGTCTATTCATGAACCTTTCAGAGCAGAAATTTGCGCTTCATTTCCTACACTTAAATCAATTATTTTGAATGACCACAAGAAGAAAACTTCCATATATATTAGAAAACTCAAAATACAAAAGATGCCTAATTAAAATTAAAAATGGAGTCAAAATGTTACAGTAAAACTACACCAATCTGCTATCTCTAATCTGTTAATTTTTCTTCTGCTTGTTGTTACTGTACCTGGAAGTTCCTTTTCTCATTCCTTATGGCATAGAAAATTAGAGCTTTTATCACTTCCTTCTGCCATTAGTGATGCATATGTTTTTGACATGAAGTGGGTAATAAAACTGCTTTTCATTTTACGGAGTTATAACTAAACAACATGTGAATGATCTAAAATAATTTCTTCACCTTTTTACAGCCATTTTCTGATTGTTAGCAGCTGTTTTTCCCCTGAATTGGAATACTGGAAGAATAATAAAACATTTTTACGTTGTTAGCAGAGTATGTTCCATATGCATGAACGTGATCAATAATAGTCTAAAGGTTAAGGAGGTTGCTGTTGAGTAAGATTAAATGAATCAAGTCAATTCTACTGTACCGTTTTCCATATAATTTGCTTTTTAGTTTAATTAGTAGAATACTCCTGGCCTGAGGTTATGTCCCACATAACTTTTTTTGCTTTATATAATCTGAAGTGCTTTTTGAGATGAAAATTAAATAGAGAACATAAATACTTTAATATCATACATAATATCGAGAATTTGCAAATATAAAGCTATCAAAAATTATTTAAACTTTGATGTGAGATGATTGGAAGAATAATCAGTTGACATTGTTTATCTTCGTTAAATGTAGGTTGGGAAAATATCTAAAAACAAAAAGAAAAAACTGAAAAAAAAACAGAAGAGGCAAGCTGAGCTACTAGAGAAACGCCTGCAGGAAATAGAAGAACTGGAGCGAGAAGCTGAAAGGAAGAAAATAGAAGAAAATGTAACCTTGGGTGTACCATCAAATGAGCAAGAAGATGAGTACCACCCAGAGGTCAAGCTAAAAACAGCTGATTTAGAGGAGGTAGCAGATGAAGAGCCTGGGAATGAAGATGGTTAGTAACTTCTATTTTACCCTGATACTGAAACTAATTTTGAGTTGGAACTGAGATGGAACTTTAATTGTACTTTCTGAAACTGGTTTATCTTAATTATGAATTAATCCCACAAAATCTCTAAAACGAATAGGTTTTATATTATACGCAGTGTAGTTGTAACCGTGTCAGTCCCAGGATATTAGAGGCACGAGGTGGGTGAGATAATATCTGTTACTGAACTAACTTCTGTTGGTGAGAGAGAGAAATTTAACATTTTTACTTTGCTGTTCTTGAGGTGCTTGTCCATATGTATATTCAACTGTAGCTGCACATCTGAGTTCCTTCTAAGCTGTGCAGCTGCCTGGCCAGCCAGCAGTCTATCAAGTGTCACACACTTCAGGTGCCCCTGCCCCCACTGCTGCTCTACTCCTGCCCTCTGCCTTGGAGCCCCTGGCCAGCTGCTCCCAGGAGTCGCCTCCTTGCTGTGCAAAGCAGGGTGGCAGGGGAGAGGGGTCATTGATGTCAGGATGTCCCCTACCCCGCTCCTGTACCCCATCTCCACAGGCAGTGCGGGGAGGTGGGGGTGGAAGAGGGGAACATGTTAGGGCACAGGAGTGGGATGAGCTGGCGGTTACTGCTGTGTCTGAACAAGCAGGCTTTGGATTTGTGAGTGCTGATCTACTTAAAGGGGTCTTTCACATACGCTCACAGTGTGTGTGTGTGTGTCTCTCTCACACACACACACACGGTCTCTCTTTCTCTCTCACCTCCCAATACATACTTGTATTGTTGTTGTTGTTACATCTTGATACTTCCTGCAAAGCACACGTATTCTTTGTAATTTTATTCTTTCAAAGTGCTGTTATTTGAGTTTTTTGATGGGTCTGTGCATTTCATAATTTTTATTTCTCTCTTATGCTTAAATTTAATTCTTTGAATAGTGAGTTCTAAAATGCCTAACGTGTCCTGGCTGGAGTAATTAGCCCTATGGTAACTTATTAAAAATATATATTATATCTAGGTTGTTTGTTTCTACTGGTGGCGCACATCCACACATTACCTCGATATTGGTGCACATAAAATTAATTTCACACATGAACAGAAAAAATTAGAGGGAACATTGCTGCACATATGTCCATGCATGAGAGATTGCAGATGTATATTTTGTTAGGAGTATCCTCCTGATCTGTGCATGCACCTGGACTACTCTCGTCATTATACGGGAGATATAGAAGACCCCAACTACTATTTTTGTTCCTTCTCATCCCAATTGGCCTGAGATGGAACATTTCTGTGTCTACACTCCTTAGCTTTGGCTTTCTCATTCATGTGAATACAGCGACAAAATGAGGATGGACACATGCATGGAATTAAGTGGCAGGCCACAACTTTTATTAAACTTTTAACACAAGGGAGGGGCACTACCCGCCCATCACCCATACTCTCCTATATCAGACATTTAATTGGTTCCATTGTGGGGATTACAGGGCTCCTCCCTATATAACCTGTAAGTGGTGTCAGGGTTACAGAGCTTATCATACAACCCCTAACGTGGAGTAGACTCTCCTCAGCCTATCCCCCAGGAGTCAGCTCTGTGTGTCCTAGCACCCTTCCCCCCGAGAGACCTCAGCTTGCAATGGCCACAAGGTCTGACCTTGGCCCACAAAGACCACAAGGTCTCATCCTATCAGATGAGCCCAAGGCCCATCACCAAAATCCCAGGTCTTTTACCTCTGGGAAACATTCATTTTAGTCTCTTAACTGCACTGGAAACTGGCTGCGAGTTGCAACGAGTAAGCAACACCACTCCAGTACCTTAGTCAGGCACCAGGCACATTCCTACTTAACCCACTGTGGCTTGCAGGCACTGTGAGGAAGACAAAAAACTCCCTGGTTCTCTGCCAATTGCCCATGGGAGAAAAAAATCCTTCCTGACCCCCTAAACAGGTGGTCAGCTTGACCCAGAACATCTGTCAGGCCGGGTTCCCATTCCTATTCAAATGGGTAGGGTGGGCTGCTGGAATGGAGCCAAAAGAGGCTCCACATGGCCCCTGCACTGGGTTACATTCTTGGATCTGGGCCAATCAGCACCCTTCTCCTCCAGCTGGCCAAAGGGTGCCAGAGACTCCCATGAGGAGCTACTTATTGTTCCTTGGCCAGCGACTCCCTCCCTTGCTACTGCTACTGCCAGTCCCCCTTTCACTGCCAGCCCCATGTGTTTTCGCATTTGTTGATGTGATTGGCGTGACATTTTATAAATGCATTTAGGTAGTATTAGGATATTTTTCTTTGTATATAGTATAGTTAGGCTTGGAAGAATTGGACTTTTATCAGTAAATGTTGGTAAACATTGGTTTCACTGTACACACACTAACAAAAATGGATTAATTGATAATCACAATTTACAGATAGGCAAAGTAAGAAAAATGCTGCTTGAGAATTTGTCATGAGTTTGATTTAAGATATTCTGACATGTTGACAATTTGTGTTTTAATAGTTACAAAGCTTACCTGTATGAATCTCATGTCTACTGTCATTATTATAATTATTGTCTGACACCCCCCAACTGTGAGAATTTAAACTGATAAGGATAAAAAAGCTTAAAAATAAACACTGATATTATCTGTTGAAATTATATTAAAAAAATCAAATTCTGCCAAGCCTGAGGAAAGTATAATATAAGAGTTGGCTGCTTGGCTATATCTGTGATTAGTGTAGTTTTATTTAAAGGGTTTTACTCCTCCTTGATTTTTTCCCCCTCTTTCATTTATTCTTTTAGTGAGGGAAGTTTTCTTTAATGATGCCAAAATCCCCTGGCTTTAAATTTTGTGACTTTTGTGGGAGGCTTTTCCCCTCAATGACTATTGCATCAAATTACAAAGCATGAATATAACACAAGTATGTAGGGACAAAATTAGAAAAGTCAAGGCATAAAACAAGCTCAAACTAGCTAGGGACATAAAAGGAAACAAGAAAACATTCTACAAATACATTAGAAGCAAGAGAAAGACCAAGGACAGAGTAGGCCCGTTACTCAATGGGGGGGGGGAAGACAATAACAGAAAATGTGGAAATGGCAGAGGTGCTTAATGACTTCTTTATTTCGGTTTTCACCAAGAAGGTTGGTGACGATTGGACATCTAAAATAGTGAATGCCAGTAAAAATGAGGTAGGAACAGAGTCTAAAATAGGGGAAGAACAAGTTAGATGTCTTCAAATCACCAGGGCCTGATGAAATGCATCCTAGAATACTCAAGGAGCTGACTGAGGAGATATCTGAGCCATTAGCAATTATCTTTGAAAAGTTATGGAAGACAGGAGATGTTCCAGAAAACTGAAAAAGGGCAGATATAGTGCCCATCTATAAAAAGGGAAATAAGGACAACCCGGGGAATTACAGACCAGTCAGCTTAACTTCTGTACCTGGAAAGATTATGGAGCAAATAATTAAGCAATCAATTTGCAAACACCCAGAAGATAATAAGGCGATAAATAATCGTCAGAATGGATTTGTCAAGAACAAATTGTGTCAAACCAACCTGATAGCTTTCTATGACAGGGTAACAAGCCCTGTGGATGGGGGGAAGCAGTGGATTTGGTATATCTTGACTTTAGTAAGGCTTTTGATACTGTCTCGCATGACCTTCTCATAAACAAACTAGGGAAATACGACCTAGATGGAGCTACCATACAGTGGGTGCATAACTAGTTGGAAAATAATTCCCAGAGAGGTTTCAGAGTAACAGCCGTGTTAGTCTGTATTCGCAAAAAGAAAAGGAGTACTTGTAGCACCTTAGAGACTAACCAATTTATTTGAGCATGAGCTTTCGTGAGCTACAGCTCACTTCATCAGATGTATACCGTGGAAACTGCAGCAGACTTTATATACACACAGAGATCATGAAACAATACCTCCTCCCACCCCACTGTCCTGCTGGTAATAGCTTATCTAAAGTGATCATCAGGTGGGCCATTTCCAGCACCAATCCAGGTTTTCTCACCCTCCACCCCCCCCCACAAATTCACTCTCCTGCTGGATACTAAATTAATAGTATCCAATTTGCAAATGAATTCCAATTCAGCAGTTTCTCGCTGGAGTCTGGATTTGAAGTTTTTTTGTTTTAAGATAGCGACCTTCATGTCTGTGATTGCGTGACCAGAGAGATTGAAGTGTTCTCCGACTGGTTTATTTATTTAGGCTTAAATAGAGACTGGGAGTGGCTAAGTCATTATGCAAGGTAGCCTGTTTCCTCTTGTTTTTTCCTACCCCCCCCCCCAGATGTTCTGGTTTAACTTGGATTTAAACTTGGAGAGTGGTCAGTTTAGATGAGCTATTACCAGCAGGAGAGTGAGTTTGTGTGTGTATGGGGGTGGGGGGGATGTGAGAAAACCTGGATTTATGCAGGAAATAGCCCGACTTGATTATGTAAAGAGTTGTCACTTTGGATGGGCTAGCACCAGCAGGAGAGTGAATTTGTGTGGGGGGGTGGAGGGTGAGAAAACCTGGATTTGTGCTGGAAATGGCCCACCTGATGATCACTTTAGATAAGCTATTACCAGCAGGACAGTGGGGTGGGAGGAAGTATTGTTTCATGATCTCTGTGTGTATATAAAGTCTGCTGCAGTTTCCACGGTATACATCTGATGAAGTGAGCTGTAGCTCACGAAAGCTCGTGCTCAAATAAATTGGTTAGTCTCTAAGGTGCTACAAGAATTCCCAGAGAGTAGCTATCAGTTGTTCACAGTCATGCTGGAAGGGCATAGTAAGTGGGGTCCTGCAGGGATCGGTTCTGGGTCTGGTTCTGTTCTATATCTTCATCACTGATTTAGATAATGGCATAGAGAGTACACTTAGAAAGTTTGTGGACGATACCAAGCTGGGAGGGGTTGCAAGTGCTTTGGAAGATAGGATTAAAATTCAAAATGATCTGGACAAACTGGAGAAAGGGTCTGAAGTAAATAGGACGAAATTCAATAAGGCCAAATGCAAAGTACTCCACTTAGGAAAAAACAATCAG